GCGTTAATCCGCGGAACGAGTGCGTCGATGCGGAGCAGAGTCGCGCTGGAAGACACGCGTCTTTTCCACCTGAGCTCGCGACGCTCGGTGCGCGAGTTCAAGGCGAACCTGTCGGTTTGAAATCGAGTCGGAGCAGGAGATTGTGTCTGCCGCTGCAAACTAGCGAGGAGGAAAAACGAACGGCGGCTTCGTGTTTCGACGGCGTAACCGTCCCGCGAAAGTTGAGATTCTAAAGCTGTAAGACTACGTGAATCACCGGTTTAACGGTGAACACGGTAGCTGCGGCTTTTTGACTTATCGTGTTCCTTGTCTTTGGCTTTACGTTCCGAGAATCGAGGAAATTTGTCGCGGTATTCTGTGGTGTTGCACAGGATGGATGCTCGACCTCGATTCAATTCTTGCTTCCATAGCGAAGTCTCTTCAGGGACGATCTTCTTTTTTAAGTTCCAAGAAATGATCTAATTTTTTATACAATTACATTTTATGCATTTCAAATCTTTGTTGGGAGTTTGTGTAACGAATAGATAGTCACAATATTTGCATATCCTTTTTACCACGAATATTGAAATTTTCAAAAATAACAAAAGTGTCAGTATCCCTGAAAGGGTTAATTTAAAAAATCGTACGATACACAGACCACTGAATTTTCATTTATCTAGGAACAAAGAAACGCCTGTTTTTTCAACTCGAATCACACAAAGAGATTCATACCTGAGTCAAAAAAAAAAAAAAAAGAAAGAAAAATCAGAAAATCCGTTTCTCATACAATTTTTAAGGATCCCAAACCCACTAACTGCATGTTCAGAAGGGGGAAAAACGACGTCCCCGGCGAGTGTAAGAGAGTGCAACCATATGGCACGGTGATTTAGACTCGCGACAGCGGAACAACAATTATTTAATTATTCCCCGCGCACACTTTCCGTGGAAGAAGATCGTATTTCTTTCCACTAGGCCACGGAGCGCATTACAATGAATCAAGTCGCCCCGTCGCTAGCCACGGCATCGCTTAGAGGTTTCCTCTCCCAAATGGATGTTGTGATATCTCGCGAACCGAAATATCCCCTCAGATAACGAATTTAGCCGAGCTGGGACGACGGGGAGGGTGGCGAAGGTAAAAGGGGCAGGCCTCCTTCGAAAACCTCGCGGAGAAACGAAACGCGCGGATGCGCGACCGAGAATAGCGCGACGAGAAAGATAAACAAATTGTCGAAAATTCCGGGCTCGAAAAAGGAGATGGAAATTTCATCGGAAGAAAAGTAGCAGAACAAGTACTTACACACGCAATTTCTGAAAGAAACTTTCTAACTACAATCGTTCGAATAGAAACGACGAAAATACCATCCTTAGACGTTCTCTGAAATCACCGTCGTTCTTCACGCGAGTTTTCCTCGACCACAGGTTTCGACGAGCGTAGCGATCCTCTTTCCTACCAGTAGTTGTATTTCCAGTGGAAAAAACCTCGAGATACCGGGAGTATTAAGGGATTAGAGCATCGTCTGGAGACGACTTAGCCGAAGAAGAACCATCGCGACACCTCAATTTCGTCGTTCGACCCGTAGGAAACAGCGTCGTCTCGTTGAAGACCTCCTCGAAAACAGCTTTGCGTTCCGACAGACACAATGGAGGCTGACAGGGTCCGTGAAACGAGGATCTGTATATAGTCTTTTGTGGATCGAGTCGAACCATCCCTCCCTCTTTTCTTCACAATCTCTGCCCGGGTTTCCCTCTTTGGTCCCTACGAAAAATAGGGTTCTCCGGCCGTCTCCGTACGTTCGATTCGGTGCTGCTCTCCTCCCCCTATATTCCAGCCTCGATTTCGCCGTTATCGTTCCGTCGACGGTGTCTCGAGAGTTGCATCGGCCAGGCAGGCGTGTTTTCTCATGTAAATTTCAAATTCCACCGTGGCTTATATCGTGTTTAGACACCGGTCCGGCAGGGATTTTCCCGTACTCGATGTTTGCGCGGACCTCGGCGCCGTGGGAAAGCGCTCTCGAAGCTTTTCCAAACTGTTACGAGATATCGTACCTCCGCTTCCACCCCGAAGCTCCATCCCTTTGGACTCTCCGCGACTCGTTCGTCTTTTTGCAAAGATAAACTTTGCAACGGCGTGAATATAAATCACCGGCGTAGAGCGCGTGTTCAGGGAATCCAGGGGAAAAATGAGACACGACCAATCCGAGCGACAGGCGTACTCCATTTTTCCGGTCCTTTGTAAATTTCAGGGAGAAACTGTTCCTTTCCTGTGACGCGGCCGCTATTCACAGTTTTCCAACAGTGAGCATATTTTTTTTTTTTGTCTTCGTACGACGCATATTTTCGACAATTTTCCCCGACGTCGCTTTTGAGGTTTCTTCAGTTCTAGATATTAGCAGCGTCGTGAATTATTCAACGGCTACGGGAAGTATAATTTCCTCGAACTTTTGTGCACATCGCGAAACAAACGATTCGTGAGTGATTTTTTTTAATTGATTCTACAATACATTGTAATATTGAGAAATAAGTCTTTTTCTAAAAACTGCACAAGCTTTTCACTTTTTATGCAAAATTAAAATGTTCTATGTGCTTCCTGTGATTCTAAAAACAGTCTAATTTATTTGTCCCGTTTCACTAATTTTTTCTTCATTCTTCTCGGACGTTGAAAAATACTAATTAAGGCAATTAAGACAAATAAAATATTCGAAACTCACGATTCAACGGTATCTCCAAAAAATTGGACACCAGTTGAAACAAAAACTGAAGAGTTTCAATCGCGATAAGTCGTAATTGCGTTCCAATCAAGTTCCCCTCGGCAAATCGATCCGTCCCCTTTGATGGCCGTTCGCGTAAATGTTTCGACTGGTATCCCAGGCGGCACGTTTTAAAGGGAAGAGAGGAAACAGCAGAATTATTGCTTGGCATGGCGTTCGAACATTTCATTAAACTGGCGCGCTGACAAACGTAGAGATAGCGGGGAACAGCCAGGAAGCCGACGTCAGCGGAAGTACTTTTAAAGGTAACTCGTCGCGGGCCAACAATTTCTCCCTCCGTCTCCCTTTCTCGGTCTCTCTCTATCTTTCGCTGGGAACGTGATTAGTATGGCACCGAAAACGCAAGCTACGCGTCGATGTCTGTGTACTAATGACTACGTAGTTTTCGTCTCTCTATCGTCCAGTCGATACCTTTTCCCCTTTAGTACTCGCTTGTAACGAAGTCACGCGGTGCACATCTTTACAAACGCAACGAATATTACGTAGAAGAAGAAGTCCGTGCTCGTGTTTCACTTTTGACGATAAATTCGAAGGGAAACGAAGAGAAAACAATTGGATCGTTTAACGAGGGACAAGGGGCAATTCGATTTCTCCTGCATTCGAATCTCCGCGCTTGGCCCTTAAAGCGTTTTGCTTTATCGTCGACCGTTTTCAAAGGAAACGAAAAAAGGAGAGAGAGAGAGAGACGTTCGTGACGTTTTCCGCGACGCAAATGGAGATACTCGCCGTCTCGTTACATAGGAAAAGTATAGATGCGTGTATGCAAAATGGCAATCTTGAAACGAACGTATTCGCGGTGCAGATATTTCTGGTGATCGTATGTATCTCACTCGAATGATTCATTTTTCACGTAAACTCGCTTGTTGTAGCACGATTTTCCTTCTCATCGTCGATTCACCTTCTGTCGATCCAGGAGAACTTCTTCTCGTCGGTAGCATTGATAGTACAGTAAATTCTCCACAAGTGTCAGTCCACAAGGAATCTAAACGTGACACTTGTAGAGTCAGGGACTACGTTTTCGAGCCTCGCGCCCGCCTTTGTAGTTTGCCGAACGTAGACAAGGACAGCGAATAAAACCATCTATACTGTCACTTGTAGAATCCAAACTGACTGACACTTGTAGAGAATTTGCTGTATTCTCTTTTCGAAGGAATCTTCCATTCCGGCGAACGGTCGATTGCAAGCTTCGTGGAACGGAGGAGGAATTAAATTTAACAGAGCACCGCAATATTGATTCAGATGACGCAGAAAAAAGAGAGAGAAGGGAAAAGACGCGTTAATAATAGGTAATTGAGTTTCACGCGGAGAGATTGGATAATATCGAGAATTTTGCAAGAGACGACGACGGGCAAGAGTGATTAATTAACAACCGCAACATTAATTATCGCCGATTCGTTCGTTCGACTCGGTGTTCCTAGCTTAATCGAGTCTCTCCTCCTCCGTTCCTCTTCACTTCTCCAATTTTTCTACAGTCGGGTAATTCGGTCGAATAGAAATTCACTTGTTGATTTTCAAAGGGCGACAGAGCCAAAAAAGAACGTCCGTTTCATTATGCAGATTTTTTAACTATCTAATTATTATTCATCGCCATCCGACTCGTAACACGCAAATTATTCCGAAAAATTATTCTCCGGGGTCTATTAAAATCCCTCCTCCTCGAGCCACTCTCTCTAGCCTCTCTTTTAATCGTTCGGGAATTATACGAGGCGAAGTGAAAATCCCATCGAGACGATGATATTTGCAATTACCTCGATTTTATGACGGCTGAAATTGAACTCTCCTCCCTGTGAAACTATCGCCACCTGTAGTGCCGATAAAACGTGCAAACCTTCTCCACCCGTCTTCGCCTCCGTCGAAATTATTCATCACACCCGATTATTCTCACAAGAATTTAGCTTTCTCCTTTCAACTACCTCTGTCCACGAAATTGCCCACAGTCGTCGGTATTTACGAAACGACAGAAGAAAACAGGATTTACAGCGGGGACTGAATTCACCCGCATTGTAACCCAACCTTTTTTCCCCCTCGTTGCTCCTCTTCCAGGTATAAATTTTCAAAACACCCCGTATAACATCCAGATTCGACATAATCCCACAGTGGCATCGAGAATGCTCCGCGTTCCGAAGTTTCTATGGTACCTCGAAGGATTAAAATACCACACAGACACGCACACACGTGATTCGTTTCGACCTGCAGAAGGACTAACACACGCGGTAATAACCAATTTTCTTTCCCCCCCTTTTCTGTCACCAGGACGTGGAATTATTGGAGGGAACCATTCCATCGGACGCGATGGAGGTGGAGGTCTCTCACTGCAGGGAGTTGAGGATCCAGTCAGGCGCGTTTGCGGATGGCGCGCCATTGAAACGGGTTTACGTGTCGGGAATCTACAGTCTGGTGGCCAAGAGGCAGGCCTTTCAGAATTTAAGCGCGCCGAACACGCATCTAGAGGTGTCTGAATGCAACAGCGTGATCCTGGAGAGCCACGCGTTCAGGAATTCGCGGGGGACGCTGAGCGTCTCGATATCGAGATGCAGGAACGTCGGGATCAAACCGAACGCTTTCTCCAGGCTACTCTGGATCACGATCAGAGAGGTGCCCATACTGGACTTGTCTAGCAACGCGTTCAAGCTCGAAGCTTCTCAGCATGGAAGGCATGGACCAGCGACCAAGGTCAGTTCATTTAGCCAGTATCTTTTTGCTGTGTTTTATGCCCATTTTCTGACTCCAGGAGCTCCTTTTGTCGGGTCATCCCCTTTGTGGTATCTTACTTGAGTTTGGAATTATTTTCTTAATTTTCTTTAAGTGCAATTAATTCTTTTCGCTCGTTTTAAATTTTACAATCCTGCATATTTTTAAGTTTCTGACTCTAGGACCTCTTTTGCAGTATTTTATTTGAGTTTGGAATAACTTTTTAAAAGTTTGTTCAAGTGCAATTAATTTTTTTCACTGATAAATTCTAAAATCCTGCATATTTCTGAATTATCGCATTCAGGACGGTGTGACCCAACAACGAGTCACTGCAGCATTCGAGAAAAATGAAAAACTGAATGTTTCGTGAATTTCGTTGCCGCCCTGGACGCGTTAAAAAGAAATGAAATTTTCAAAAGCCAATAAAACTTGTCCAGAAACCGCCGCAAAAGAAGCCCCAATATCGTCACGTTTATAAAAAGCCAGAGTCCGAAAACAGCCGTGTTTATTTTCCCCATTCGAGGAACGGTAATAAACGACATACGTTTACGTTGGCCTAGAAGTTGGCGATTTTCCAGCGGGCAGTCACGCTGCCGCAACGGCTCCCCTCGATCTTGCTATAATTTCGCTTTCTAATTCCCCCGCACGGTGTGTAGATTATGTTCCAAAGCGTGAGAATCACGGAGTTGCCGACAGCGGTGTTCCCATCGGCGGTTGCGGAAGTCCGAATGGACGATATCTGGACAAATGTGATCCGCAAGAACGCGTTCTGCGCGATGACGATCTTCAGCGTGACCATCAGCAACGCGTCGATCCAGGAGATCGAGACCGGGGCGTTCAGCGACAGAACGTTAATCCACAGCCTCGAGTTCGTCGACGTCAGATTGAAGAGCATTGAGAGAGGAGCCTTCCGGGCTGGCCACGACAACCTCACGATACAATATTCAAGGTAGATCCGCGCACACCCTTTGTCTCGCTCGCTGTGTTTGATCAGGGATCTCGTGTTTGCTTTCCTCCTCGCGAATTGTTAAGCCGTCACAGTGGCTACGCGCCTCTGTGTACCGTCGCGAACAGCGGCGAGGGACGCTGGGATTTTTGAAACGACGAGAACGAAGAGACAACGGTGCGCAGCAATCTCGTACAAACGCGTTTAATCCTCCTTTGTGTTTCCTATGTTTCGTTTAATTCTCAAGAATCCGACTCTCGACGTCTCCGCGAAGACGTAGCTGAAAGATGAATCGCGCCGTCAATTTCACTTGAAACAATGTCTCTCCCATCGTCAATCTTGGATAATTCCATTTCCCGTTTGCGAAAACTCACCGCGCACCGCCTCAAACTTTCCCTAAAAAGTTCAAGACGAAGTTTCCTCTCGCGTTTCCAGGCTGATCGAGGTGGAGACCGGCGCCATCGACATATCCGCAGCCATGGTCAGCTTCAACAACAACGAGTTCCAGAACCTGCACCAAGGCGCGATCGTTCTCCACCAATGGAACCATATAGCGATCGATTACAACCTATTCGCGGACCTGGAAACGGACGCGATCACAGCTGAGGTGGACGCTACGTCTGCGCCCAACTTCGAGTTCTCCTTCACCGGGAATCATATACAAAAGGCTAGACCAGGATCGTTGAAATTCGCAGCTATCTCTCAACGGGTGAACACGGCAAGAGTTGGTAACAATTACTTCAAGGAGAAGTGCAATTGCAACCTGGAGACGTGGATACGCGAGGTGACAGGCAAGAATAGCTCCGTATCGTGGATGATGGACTCGAGTTACTGTATGGTCGATCAGCTGTTAGACCGATGTTTCAACCTTCCGCAAGGATACATGTCGATGAGGAACTTCTCGAAGATCATCTGCGGACCAGGGGACCATATAGTCTGCGAGAAACCGTCAGCGAAACCAGAACCAAGCGTCAGTCCTCCAAGTGTCGGTCCACACGTGTACCCAAGACATAAAGGCTACTTCGACGTGGAGATGAGCGACTCGGAACAACTTCAACGCGAGAAGAGGATCATCGTGGTGATCTGCGTGGTAGCGGTGTTCACAGTGCTGATAGTGATCCTAGCCTCCGGAATTCTCTACATGCGTAGGAGTGGCGTGTGTCCAAAGCTGACATCGGGCCACCTGATGAATCTCGCCAGCTGGCTGTCGCCCAGCAGCGGGATGACTGCAGCCACCTCTGCCAGGTCGATATCCAGGCTAAGCGTGCACGAGTACGCTGGTCTTCAGCCCGAGACACGGATCCTCGAGGTGGAGACGCAAGCAGAGGGTGGAGAAGAGTACGAAGACGGCGCGGAAGGACTTTATCCTTACACGGAGAACAAGGCCACGCAGACCTTACCAGAGGAGCTGACAGAGGAGTACCTGAGGGATCTCAGAGAGAGGCTCAACGATCCTGACAACTACAATCAAGCGAGAGATATGATCGAGCATCTCTACGATCTCATCAAAGTGGAGGAGAGCTGTAACAACAACAACGACAGACAACCAACAGGTAGAGAAGAGAACGCGTACGATGTGATTCGACCGAAACAGAGGAGACTCAGAGGACCTCCTAAACCTTCGGTCAGTATAGGAACTAAGGCACCGTCCTTGGAGAAACTACTACCAAGTGGAATACAACCGAGGCCACCGCTGACCGACTACACGGAACCTCGCGATCAGAAGGCTCCCGAACAGAATCATCTGTACGCGGAATTACCTGGTGACGAGACTGTTCCCAGCACAAGTCGGCTGTCTCAACCTATCCTGGCGACTCTGGCTGGTAGAGCGCCACAGCCGTTGCCGCCAGACGTGGTGAACGATCACCTGATCAACGACCACTCGAGCCAAGCGTTCGTTAAGCCGAAGACTGAGAACCACAGGCCACCAGAGAGCCCGAAGTTCGAACCACCTAGACACCAAGGCAGACCTATGAGCTTCCTGAAGGCGCTTGGCGAGAGTATCCTCGGAGGATCGAAGTCGAGCAATAACAAAAGGCCTAATTCGTTGCTGTGCGAATACGCCGAACCGTCCGACGCTACCGCTCACCTGTACTCGGAATTACCTGAACCGCAAACATCGACACCGGCCAGCAAGATGGCGAACAGGCCGCTGCCCACCAAACCTGACCAGGATTCCGTGGCGAGGGCATAACGAACGCCCGTCGTCGATTGTCTGTGATAATATAAGCGCGCGAGAGATGGCGAAAGACTTGTTGTGGAATCGTGCTCTCTCTCTCTCGTGTCTTTCCTGAAGTAAAATCGTTCGCCGAGGCAACGATGATTTTTACTGCCTGGTGAACGACGGTGGTGTCTTTTTTTTCTTTTCTCGCGACGTTCCAACGCGGAGGAACGCATCGAACCAGTGCCAGAGATATGTAAGAAACGAACAGTTTTTACGAGACTAGATTTTAAGGAGCTTTTTGTAAAAAAAAAAAAAAAGAGGAGGAATGAATGGAAAATAGAGAAAAATTCGTCGTGAGTGCTCTTTCGTTTGTGGGAGAAACGACGGAAAGAGACGAGTTTTATTTAACGACTGGCCCCGCAACGCGGATGTATCATAGATTTATATATATATATATTTGCTTCGTCAGGTATTATTAAAGGAGTATTTCACATTCCTCGGCTGTCTTTCATTCGATGTCCCTCTTTCCCGTCGAATCATGTCGCTGAACGTGTCTGATTCTACGGAGACCTTCTCTGATCAGGAATTACTCCGGAAGAAAATATGACGACTATGTCGGATTATCCGTTCCTTATTCATCCTCCGTGTTAACAAGACTGCAGAGCGAATTTAATACTCTGCAGCGGCAGCGATATTCCGAGAAAATTCATTTCCCTTACGACGAAACCGTGACCGTGAACCTGGTCGCACGGTAGCGCGTCCACAAATTTGTCTCTCCCACGAGAAGAGCCAGCAGCCACGAACCTTATACCGGTTGTCTTACATCCGTAGAGTTTACGAGTCCGTTTTCCCCATAGGAAGTCTCCGCAACTACGAGCCTTTGCAGCAGTCTTTACATACCGAAAGTTTGTCGCTTGCATTTCCTACTCTGAGCCAAAACCCTACAGTGTCGTGAGCTCCGCGTCGCCATTTTTGTCGCGTGAACTCCAATAACCGGAGCCTTCAAGAACTCGCGTAATTGTTTCACACTATGGGTCACCTAGAAATCCACTTTTCCCGTTGAAACGCTTTCCTCTTGGACTCCTTGGTATCCGTACCACGAAAATTACATCTCGAAAAATCGTCGAATCTTTCTCTTTAACTGTTTCTTTCTTCACCTTTCCAAAATTGCGCCAAAATTGAGGAAATCTTCGAGTGTACTAATTGATTATTAATTGACAACCGTGCAAGTACCACGGAACGGAGACGCGTTGACGAAGTACAATAAGTATCGTTAGTGCGACGGTGAAAGGACTCATCTCTGATTTTTGAGGAAGGACGTACAATATACGCGTTCGTATCTTGGGGAATAGGGTTTAGCACACCAAAGGCAGACTTCGAGGCAGATTCCCGAGTTAGTCGGGAAAGGACGAGGTTCGAGGATGAGTAGTTATCGAAATTTCGGGTATTTACAAAACGAGAACGGAAGGCTATCTCTGATTTTTGAGGAAGTAGGTTCGTAAGTGTAAAAGTTTGGTGTACCAAAGACAGTGTTCGAGGGAGAGACGGAGTTAGTCGGGAAAGGACGAGGTCAAGAGGTCGAGGCTCGAGACTGAGTAGATATCGAAATTTCGGGTATTTACAAAACGAGAATGGAAGGCTAACCCTTAAACCTACGATTTGGAATACCAGATAACGTGAGTATACCTTCGAGTCTTCCAGATGAAGTTGCATTAACCGCGAGCGTAGTTCGATAATTCCAGCTTGATCTTCCGCTCAAGGCCTCCGTGTCTCGGCGTTCCCCGCGAGCATCGAGAGTTCAGGGGTCGACACGGATATTTTTTCCCATTCTACACGGGCGCACAGTGGTGCTCGAGCAATGGCGAACGTCGTCTGTCTTTCGACGAGGGCCGAACGAAGGAAACAGGCTCGCGTGGTCGTAGCTGGCAGCGAAACCCCACCGAAAAAGATATTCTTAATCTCTTTCGTTCTCTCTGGGCGTAGTCGGTGTATGTGTACCAGCGGCGAGACCAAACTATTCCACGAAGAATGTAAGAGGAGCAAATAGAGGCGGCTAGCCGGGGCGGGCTGCGATGCAGCTGTTGATGTTCAAACGGCTGTTGCCTCTCCTCCCACTGTGTCCTCCCCCTTTTTTCCACCGTCTCTTTCCCGCCTTCGTTGCACGCGCTGATCCCCGGTGAAAACCAGAAAAGTTCCAGCGAAAAAGAGGAGCCCCGATGGAAACACGGGGGAAAAGTCCGCGCGAGGACGACGGAGAGGAGCGCGGCGGCTCGCGTAAGTAGCCGGGAAAATTAATTTATCGCGATGCCTCCGTGGTTCTGCAGAAATTATCTCGAGTCTTTTCTTTTCTCGATGGAGCGTTGTATGTTTATGCTTGGAGGGTGTGCGCACGAGGGCTGGGAAGAGGCTGTTCTATACGGGGAGGGGTTTTAAAGTATTCTCGTTGAAGGAGAGCGGGGAATGGCTTTTTAATTGAGATAGAAGATACTTCTGTAGTTTTCGTGTGCGGGTTTCGTCGAGATACTTAATTGTCAACGATCGAGGAGTTTTGGGTCGTTGCGCGGTTGTTTAGCTGACACAGTTATGGACACGTTCGTTTAAGATGTAGATACTTTTCTTTGGTCAGAGATGAAAAATAAGTGAAATTTCTAATTATTCGAAAAGCGACAGAAATTGAGGCCAAGAGACGCCTTGCAACGATGATCACTTTTAACTACCAATTTTGATCTTAAATTTGAGAATTACCAGCGACACATTTATGGACACGTTCGTTTATAAGATAAAGATACTTTTCTTTGGTCAGAGACGAAAAATAAGTGAAATTTCTAATTATTCGAAAAGCGACAGAAATTGAGGCCAAGAGACGCCTTGCAACGAAGATCACTTTTAACTACCAATTTTGATCTTAAATTTAAGAATTACCAGCGACACACTTATGGACACTCGTTTATAAGCATCATCGCAAAGTAAGATACAGACACTGTTCTTTAATCAGAGATCAAAAATAACTGACCAATTTACCTACAAAACCTAAGACAAGTTAACATAACATCGAACCCAGAATTAACTTTCTGGAGTCTGACAAAAACACTTGTTATTTTTACCACAAAATCAAAGAATCTCAACTCACGTCACCTCATAAATTTTAAATTCCTCCTATCCTCACATTCACCAGTAAGATTTCAGCGCAAACGGAAAATAAGAATTGCAAATTCCCAAAAGGTGATAAAAATGCCCCGGACTAACGTTCAGTTAATAGAACATTCGCGCAAGCACGAACTTAAAGGACCGCCTCTGACCAGGGTACGTTGAACGTGTTCAAGTCGAAATGATCGCTGGAAAATGCATGCAAGCAGGAATATACAAAGTTCGCGGGGGAATCACGGGAAAGCTGGCCAGCCTCGAAATTGAACGGGCCACTATTAGAGACAATGTAGCGTGAAAACGCTTTATCGAACGCTCTGGCTCGGCCAGAGGAGGGGGGAAACAAACGCGATATTTCTTCCACGGCCGATTCCTCGCGCTTCGTTTTCGAGGGTGTGATCCTTCGCGCGCTTTATCACTCGCTGCTTTGTCGACAGGCCGCCGCCGCGATACCGAGTCAACTTATACGAGGCGATCAACCTATCTCGCGCCGATTTCACGGATTCTTTATGGACCCCTATTTCTCAGATAAGCGTGTGATTTTTCTCGAAGACCGGTTGCCTGTGGCGGGAAAGTCGCAGAGGATGCTACCACGACCAGCTCCAGACGACGCGTCATTTGTCCGACTTTTCCATCCTACGGACCGTTTAATCGGTTTCGTGGGAAATTTTAGATAAATGTGAACGTTTGGTTCTTGAATCGTTGAACTTCTGGATTACCGTTTTCCTTGTTAGACTATGTAACGAGTAGTATTTGCTACATTTTCAAATTTTTAAGAAACACTGAAGAGGTTAATTTAAGTTCTTCGACTAACTATACTTGGAAATATCTCTAACCTACTTTCTGTCTTCAAGTGGATTATCACGAGCTGCTCTAAAAGATTAGATGAGGTTAATTTTTATGCCTCCGCTAAATCCCTCAGAGTAGGACAAACTTTTCACACTTATCTTCGGGTTCTATTAGTCAACAAATTTATTATCTCGCTATTCCTCCTGAAACCATACACAAACTTAGCCTCTTTCCTCATAAATACTCACAAAATATACACTCTCGAACGACGAAACAGAACTCCCTCAAACACACCCTAATTCCAATTTCCAATCTAATAACAGCGACAGTAGAATTTCTCAAAGACCCTTCTAAACAATACCAAACTCGATCTTCTACTCGACCAAACCCTCCCATCATCCGTTCACTTTTATCTCGCCCAAAAATCTACCATCCCTTCGCTCCACTACTCTTGAAACTCCCCCCAAAAAAAGAAGGACCTGTCGTGTACACAACCTGTGAATCTTTCATCTGTAAGGGGAACCGTACGAAACACAGGCCAGGGGAGAAGCATTGTCCGTGACAAAGGGAAAGGTGCAGCAGACCAGGCGGAAGTATGGAACACGGGATCACTGGGTATGATCCATGGTCGTTGGACGACAGAATAATCCGCAACGAGAGAGGCAGCCATGGTGAGCTTCTCTATCAGGTTTCATTAGCAGGCCAATCATCTCATCACTTGGATACGGTCGTGCTCTCGCGTCGCCTGTACGCACAAGCCTAACCCGTTTCTCTGGTCCCTGACCTAATCTCGCGGAGATCGTTGAGAAAATCGATCGAGGATCTCTCCCTCTCTCTCTGTGTAGCTATATCGATGGAGAACTGGAGTCTCCGTTGGCCAGGTTATCGGAACAGGGAAATCACTGGCGGAGCCGGTCAACGGCTTATATTAAGCTCCAGCTTAGAACGTAAACGCGTTTTCCATCTCGTAACTCGAAGGCAAGAGGAGAGAGAGAGAGAGAGAGAGAAGGTCTGGTAGTCTAGGAAAACAGCTTACGTGGGATAGAATGTATCGAGACATTGTAATTGGACTGGATCTGATATATTCAGAGTCGCGTCAGCTAGTAATATCGAGTGATATTGTTTCGGGGACCAGCTCTTCCTCTTTCGGACGTGAGATCGGTTTCGTGGCTGGTCTATAGGGAACTGTGAACTGTGCAGCGAGCTCTGGGAGTTCGCTTCGTGGACGGCTCGTTTGGTTAAGTAGGCTCGTTAGTGGTGTTGGTGACGTGACGTATGACGATGATGACGGTAATGGTGAAAGAAGTCGGGGAAAGTTATGCAATGGGAGAAAACGAGCGTGTCGCTCTGTTGGAAGTTTTCGAGAGGTGTATTTTCTGCGAGATGTATTGCAATCTTTTTTTGGGGGGGAATTGGAATATTTCGCGGGGTTAATGGGGAGATAACACGAGAAGCGAAATTAGGGTTGGTTTGAATTTTTAAT